CACATTTTCTCAAAATATTGCCCTTTGCATGTTATGTACTTTTGATGCCTGTCAGGTCAAACACTCTCGGCAATTTCTTCCACCGTGACTTGTGGAGTTTTTGCCTCCCATGTTTGAAGTTGTCATACAGGGTCAAATCGTCTATTTTAAATCTCTTCTGCCACCCCATAATTGTAGTTCTATCTGGTATATAATCCTTATATACTTTCTTCATGGTAGCATTGTTTTGCATGGCTGTGAGTCCAAGTGAAGTATGAAATTAGGCCACCAAATGCAAGGCCTTCTGTTATCAGGTGAGAATTGCAGCCATTTTTGCAATTTTTTGACTGTGACTGTATTTGAATTCATGACTATTGAAATGTGGCATTATAATATGACAGTGCTAAATGTCATTATTTGTACTTGGTTAACATTATGCTGAATAAATTTAACAATTTCCCAAACATTTTGACCATTTAAAGGAAAGAAATATTAATAAAATAACACTTTAGATCTTTTCATAATTAGAAATATTGGTACCTGCCCCACCCACCCCTACCCCCATGTTGTTATAGCAACCATATTAAGACTTAATATCAATGTTGGATGCTGAAACTTCAGGATATAATAGATAAAACTTCAATTGTTATATACACAAAATTTCAGCTGAATTGAAGTATATTAAAGAAAGTTAGAGCATATAGTGCATTACTTCTGGGACAACCCTCGTACTTTGGCCAAATGGAGAAAATGTCAAAGAATTTCGTAAATATGGTAAAAAGTTAGAAAAGATTGAATAGAACAACTCCCAAAATCGGAAGTGTGACTTTTTACCATAAATTGACGTCATAAATTTTAAAAATCCTATACTCAGCAATATGCCCAAGAAGTGGATCTTCTGAGACATGAAGTTAAATTGCAATTGTTAGTTACGTTTAGAGGAATACACTATTTTAAAAAGTTTTCAATCCAATAAAACTTTGTGAAAAATATCAGTTATAAAATCTGAGGTAATATCCTTCAGATTCAGAGGTCTCTTCTCAGTTCAAAATTATATTACAATAAACTGAAAATTGTATGGTAATTATAACCCTTAATAACTCTCAATGACCCATAAATATGTTATACATCTTATACTTAGCTAATGCATACCAAAATTTATGTCAGATATGATATATAAATGTGTTTATTGAGCAAAATGGTTACATCCTATCCCTAATTTCACTGCTATTTGAGGTGTAAAATTGTCTAAAATCATGTTTTAGGCGGGTTCACTGTAGAAGTGCATTTTGGGAACTAATTAATATAGAAAAACTTTTACGGCTATTGAAAGATGGCGTGGTTGAGCATCATAGTGACAACTAGCCACATTCTACCCATAAAGACTAGCGATCTGCGTAGGCGCATAGGTTAAAATGTACTAGAAGTTCACGGGATATCTCTGCCTGCATTGCTCTTCTGCAAAAACAACAATGGCGGATGTCGTAGGAAAACTTTTGACCAGAGAAAGTGAACTGGTAGAAGTAGGAGGCATCGAGTAATCTAAGGTTGATGTGAATGAATTTATAATGGATCAGAGAAACCTGAACACTGTAAAAAAGACAGATCTGACATAAGTCATTTCCTAGAATTTCTGAAGTTGAAAGGGGCACTGGGAAAGCCCGAAAACATTGAACCAAAAGATTTAAATGAATTTGTATCAGAATTTATCATTACAGTGAGACAAAAGAACGGATCTAGGAATATAAGCCAAGTAGTTTAAGGTCGAAATTTGCTAGTTTGGAACGGTATTTGAGAAATTAGGACTATGGTAAATTATTGATATCTGATCATTGTTTTTCAAAAGCAAAGGATGCTCTGTCAGCAAAACAGAAACAACTGAAAAAGTAGGGCAGAGGAAATAAACCCAAAGCTTCAAGATCTATAACCAAGGAAGAACTACAAAAGAGAAGAGACAGTGATATGTTAGAAATATTATGTAATAATATGGGGCAGTTGAAGGGCAGAGAAGTTTTGAAAAAATGACCTAAAGGTAAACTGAAGTTGCCGATTTTCACAGTATTCACCTTTCCACAAAGTAAAGAAAATCGATAATTTCCGACGCGCTGATTGGTTGTATACAAATGAGTCAAATCAATGACGTCAATGATGGAAAGTTTTGAAGAATTAGTACAGCCAACATAGGAATATTTTGAATTAACTGCAATAAAAAGGATTCTATTTGCCCAACGCACTAATTATTTTTAATCAAATATGAAATATGGACGGGGCACTTTCATTCCGAATCTTATGTAATTTAATTTAATCATTTTTTGACAGAACTATTGTTTATTAAGACTTCTCAGATCAGCCTCACATACCCGGGCTCACATGTCTCGTGCGATTGTAAACAAAAAATGTAAATTGTGAAGTTTCAAGTTACAAACAACTCGGGTTAATTATCTGATAGTGGTCAATGGTCATACAATATTCCGTTAAATGGTTATTATGTCGTAGTGAGAAGTTCCATCAGAAATTCACCATGAGTGACATTCGCGCAAAGCGTTACCTTTTGGTATTTATTCGCCATCAGCGATGTCAATAATGATCATCAATGTCAACATATCATCAATAAACATTATATGATATACGCTCTTTCTCTGAAATCTTCCCTGTGATCATTGTTCAAAACCGATCATCAAATAACTAATTTATCCAATGACAAGTGAAATCAGGACACCCATATCCATGTTTGTTTTCTATTTTAAAGCGTTCTCATTCTCATTATTTTAGAGAAATCCATCATCATTTTGGTTTAGAAAAATTCTACGGTCTGCGCGATCTATTTTGACAGTTTTGCTTTAGCAAGATATTTTAACAAATTGACTGTTTCTACACTGAATAAAAAAAATTCTCGGGAAAATTTGGATTGGGAGATACGCAGCGGGAAATATAGTACATTGCAATATATATACATAGAGATTATCCTATATGAGGTTCAGGATATTGGGATTATCCCGAGGCAAATATGATATATTTGCCCGAGGGCCGCATCATGACGTAGCGGGCAGATATACTATATCTGCCCGCTCGGAGCGGGACGTAAAGCTATATCTGCCCGCTGATGAAAATATAAGTTTTTACAAACCGGCTTTATGTACCTGAAACACGTCCAAGTATGGGATGAATATGTTTATCCCATACTTGGACGTATATTGAACGTATATTGGGAATATTTGAGAGAACAGGAAAATCCGCCCACGGCCAAGAAAACAAAACTGGACATGAATATTCTACAATATATTTCCATGATTGAACAATGTGAACCAGATGACCAAAATTGGTATGGAATAAACATATTATCCTATAGTCGGGCATACTCGATAATCCCAATATCCTTAACCTCATATAGGATAATCTTTATATATGTCACGCTCCTCATCAATTCTATATCCCAATGTTTGCAAGTATAATATTTTCAAGATACGATCTGATATGACTTGCAGAAATAAATAGGAAGTAATCGTTTAGTTGATTGAATTATGGAAGTAGTGAAGTCAATGATTTAATGAATAAGAGCAAATGTTTTTACTAATTTGAACAGGTCATTCATCAAATGACACTGAAGATTAACTTAAAGTAGATTGTCTATCTATATATTTTTATGCATGGGAGACATGTTATAATGTTGGTGAACTAATGATTATGATAATTTCACCTGTTCACATCCAGTTCCTATCATGATTGAAAACTGACCGGGAGTAATTCTCTTCAAATTATTTACTCATTATGAACAGAAATTTAACATTTAAATCGCTTAGAAGGCGTAAATAAATGTCAATTTGACGTTCAATAAAAATCCGTCAATAATTTACTGATTACTTGCACATTTGAAGAGGTAAAACTTACAGCAATCAACCGAGGATATTTGTTTTTCGCGAGAAAAAGTTTCTCTCATTGACGTCACAGATTTTTAAGCAGCTCATTATTATATATAAGGCTACAACTATAATTGGACTAAGAGTGGCATAATAAGTTTATATAATGGTTCATTCTGTATATCGTGTTTTTTATACTCTCGTGAGTATATGATATATTCACTCGTTCGCTACGCTCACTTGTGAATATATCATATACTCACTCGAGTATAAATTTTAAACACGATATACAGAATGACCCATTAGTACTATATAACCTCATAATATCCTAGGCTTAGAGGAAAATGTTTTATACTGTAATAGCAAATTGTAATTTATGACGTAATTTAATGGAAAAAGTCATTGGTGAGTTTGTGACACAATGTATTTAATCATTTTTTAAATTTTCGTCCAATTTTTTTCAAATTTCCACCAGTTATTCACAATATTTACGCCACGTGTCTCCAAGAGTTTAGTAATATCATACAAAATTTATAAAATGTTATGACTGATAAAGGACCATGCACCTTTTTTCCTTACAGAGTGTATATATCTGTATATGTAAATGACACCATAATGATGCACTGTTATTTGGAAAATAATATTCAAAATCAAAACAATTTGGCCACTTGTTTGGCTACTATTACAAAATACTTTTTACTTTTACATATGTAGTTATTTTTATTCAATTAATGTTTCTCTTACTTGATATGTGCAATTTATAAATATACGTATTTCTGCGTTGTCCTGGGGTTGATAAATGATTATCATAGTACCCTTTGTTCATTCTTTAAATTGAATGAATTAAACGCTAATAATGAAACGTATCAAAACAATAGTGAGAATGTAAGCATTTTGTTATCTTCTCCCTTTCAAAAGTTAGCCGATGAAAGATTGATTTGCATTCTAAAATGGAACATGATGGAATGTTTAATATGACGCACATTTTAGGTTTTTCAATGACAATATGACATTTTAAGGAATTTATTTGAAAATGGTCCATACATAAATGACTGTATATAAAATAGTCTATAACAAATGAATTCCAAAACGGTGTCTATAATTACAAACATTTTTTTGTTGCAATCAGTCAAACTAACACGAAAGTATAAATGTCACATAAATGCCAATCGGTTAACGCTAGCAGAATTACTGGTATATTCCATATTCCTTAATTTGACAACCAGTTGACAACCAGTTGTATCAATTTGACATGATTTATACAAAACGAAATCCAAAACGTCATCAATCAACGTCAATGTAAATATAAATATCATTATGTAACAACATCACATGATTTACAGTGTCAAATGGCGAGCCTTCATTATTAAATATTTGCGTCCCATCAATGATCGTTTAAGCCACGGATCTGGCTAGATACAAAGTATCTTTGAGAAAATGGCAATGTTCAATTCTGCATCCATACGTCATTGACTTAATGCTAGAAACAAACTGCTATGGATTCAACTTCTATTACGTGCGCCATTGACTCCTTAAGGCCAAATATTCAACGTCCTTTGTTTGACTCTTGGCTATGACGTCAATCGAATGCGCACTCTCAAAAAAGCGAGTCTTCCTAGATCCTGCTACCAGCATCTCTTTTCTTTATGACTGAACGTCATTAAAAACTTCCACAATGAACAAAAGATTACAGTTCACGTCCCGATGTCGTTATCTTCCTCTGTGTCTTCCTCCAAAGTTGGCATGACGGGAGATCTCGGAATTACGGGAGATCTCGAGCCTGCGCGAGTTCGCATAAAATCGTCACTTTTTAAAGTTTGAACCCAACTATCTAAATCACAAGAGTTTGTGCAGCTAAGTACCACTGTGGCACCATCTGGCCGTGTCGATACTAATTGGAACGTGTTATCTTTATTGTCTAAACGTTCCACGTTGTAGTTCTTTAAATTGATGTAAGAAGTTTGACCGCCAAATCTTTTATCTTGGTTCACTATTGCGTAATGGTCAAAGTTGCTACTGTACACTTTGACATACACTCGCAACTTCCGTTCTCTGTCGTTTAATTTCAAGTGCATGTATAGACGACCTGATTTCTTCTCAATGCTTTCGTGTTCTAAAGAACAATTTGGAACGTGAAAATCTGCACGTAAGGAATGCATTGTTGTTTCTAAATCGCAAGAATTCTCCATGTCTAAAGCACTCATGTCATTCAGTTTAGTCCCTAATAACAAAATTAAAATCGTTCTATAGTGCCTAAACTGTACCTTATTGCTTCCCAAAGATCGTTTTATTATAAATTGTCCAACAAATCGTTTCCGGCTCTTTGTATATTATGCAATTTACGCCCACTTAGGTGAAATGCTGAGATTAACGAAATACGAAGTAGACTCGAGAGTTATTCCCCCTTGATACTCTTGACAAATCGGTTCCTAATCTCATAGAAGGTAACGCTAGGCTCCTCGAGCTCTCAAGTTATTATATGAGTGTTGATATTTACGTCAAATGAAATATTGCAAGGTCTGATCGTACGTTGCTAAGTCTTGATGATCCTTTGGATAACCTAGTCAATATCTCATAGAAAAGATCCGTGTTTGAAGATATTTTTATCGATGAGTGATAGCCTTATATAATGTTAATAAAAGTTGCACCACAGCCAGGTTTTGTTACGTCCTTTGTTATATGATGAATGACATGGTTCGTCGGATGATTCCTGATGAATCCGCTATAAGCTCGTCGTGTTAACCTGCAGTGTTTTTAAATCCAGCATATGGTGTTTAAGAGCTGTAGAGAATATGATATGTATTCTACTTGCAACAAAAAACGGATGATCGAATATTATTGCAAATGTAAGGCGTCGTATTTCGCTATTCAACCATCTCGTTAATTAATTACTTGCTTCTACTGCAGGCATTTCACATCTGCTCTCTGCAAATAGAATTAAAACACAAATGTCATTCAGATTCTCAAACTGCAATATCTTCATAGACTCTGCACAGAGGTGTATTTTTGGAAAATATCGTGAAACACATATTCCGAAATTCAACATTTTTGGACATACATTGTGAAAGACGTATTGTCTCAAGAGACCTGTTTCCCATATTCCTAAAATGCAATGCTTTTCTTGTTTCTAATATCATGATTAGTGTTTAATGAAAAAATGTAGAGGAATGTATCTCATAGTTTTGTAGAATGAAAAGTGGTCAATATGAATACAGGCATATACTATTGGAGAATACGCATTTTTAGTTTGGTTTAAATTAGTCATCTTATTTGAAAATAATTACGAGTGCGTACGTTACCCGGGCGTTGAAGGTACGCTATCCTGAACGTGGGAGAATCAGGATGATGACTCTCTGATACGAACGACTTCTAATTAAAGTTGACAACAACAGATCTCATTGTTGCAAATTATGACCGTTTAATACGACACTAAATCCATCGGAAATATCTGATAAACAGAAAGTGATAGCGTGTTAATTAATACAACCTGTGAGTGACTTCATTCTATCAATTTTGACTTAACGTTGGAATTTACTAAATTTAATTTCTTAATGTCAGATTTTTCACACATTCATAAATATTAGGATCGTAAATGAAAATGCATGTAAAAGGGAATAACACAGTTTGGAAGTCCATTCTCCTTGTATCGACATTTACCAATGGCAATTATTGAACAAGTTTACACCATTGACAATTACTGAACAAGTTTACACCATTGACAATAATTGAACAAGTTCAAACATAATTTGACAATTATTGAACAAATTTACACCATTGACATTTATAGAACAAATTTACACCATTGGCAATTATTGAACAAGTTTACACCATTGACAATTATTGAACAAGTTTACACCATTGACAATTATTGAACAAGATAACACCATTGGTAATTATTGAAGTTCGGGAAATCTGATCATGATTGGCGGATTCAATGTTAATTTTCCCGATGTAAATGGATGCAAATCTGCCGTAAGCTTTGAAACAATAAATAGACATGAACGTTCTTGATTGCAGAGATGTAATTTACAAGCTAGATACTTTATCTGTTAATTTATCTTTAATGATTTTAGATACATCATCTTTTAGTTCCGTTACCACTTGTCGTTAAAAACATGTTTACCTGTTTGAAACATTATATCAACTAAATGTGTTACAAAGGCAATTGGACAAATCCAATTATTGGAAATTAAGTACCTAGTGCAAATCGAAGGAGAAAGATTTGATAAAACAGAGAAAAACAAAGGGACCGGCTCAAAGGTGGTAGATTTTCTTTCCCGGAAGGAATAGATTCACTTCCTCGTAAATAGTTTCATTAACGCACGTTATTTATCCATTTTGAAAGAAAATTGTTTTCCGGTGAAATACTTGTATTAAGTGTAAAAAACTTATACTAATAACTTTCAAACTTATACATCTAATTGTGATTGTTTGGTTTAGGTTTTCCGTTTGTGACTGGCATGAGGACCCGATTTGTTTCGATTCACCCATAACTACATGTGTTACGCGGTATATGGCATACATTCATGGTTGTGCGGTATTTGTGATACGGGTGAATATGCCATACTCACCTGCGGTATATGGCATATTCCGCAGGTGAGTATGCGATATTCCGCAGTGAATATGCGATACATTGATTTCAGTGAATACCCGATACTCACCTGCGGAATATGTCATACTCACTTGCGGAATATGCCATATACCGCAGGTGAATATGACATATACCGCAGGTGAAAACGTGATACAGAAAGCCTTGATTTGATTGGTTGCGAGAACCGACTCTAAATGTAAAACTACGCTGGATTACCAATAAAGTTAGTGCGTCGAGTACTAATATATGAATCCTGGATTGATTGAGAAAGTTTATTACGCGAGATTGGTGACTGATACTTCTGATAATTTAATATATTCGATACACAGTACTTGTTACGCGGTATACGGCATACATTCATGGTTGCGCGGTATTTGTGATACGGGTGAATATGCCATACTCACCCGCGGTATATGGCATATTCCGCAGGTGAGTATGCGATATTCCGCAGTGAATATGCGATACATCGATTTCAGTGAATACCCGATTGTCACCTGCGGAATATGTCATACTCACTTGCGGAATATGCCATATACCGCAGGTGAATATGACATATACCGCAGGTGAAAACGTGATACAGAAAGCCTTGATTTGATTGGTTGCGAGAATCGACTCTAAATGTAAAACTAAGCTGGATTACCAATATAATTAGTGAGTCGAGTACTAATATATGAATCCTGGATTGATTGAGTAAGTTTATCACGCGAGATTGGTGACTGATACTTCTGCTAAGTTAATATATTCGATACACAGTACTGTTGATTCAGTAATCATTATAATAATTTATAACGATTTACTTGTTCGTTCAATCGATGCAATTGACAATTGCGTACTTCCGTATCACGTTCTCATTGGTTAGTGTTTATGCCATATACCGCAGGTGAATCTGTCATACACCGCAAGTGAATATGCCATATTCGTTGCGGAATATGACATATTTTTGTATCGTGTTTACCGCGTAATGTATGTAAACAAAAAATCAAGCGTCTTATGTTGTTGAATATCTGTTCGATACTCGGTTCAGCTCATTACGTTTGTTGTTCAGTTACTGAGATAGTATTAGAAAGTTTTTTTCAAGTACCTATCCGAGCTATCTATGTTTTGATAAAGTTAAACAGGATCATGTACATGAAGTTAGTATCAATGAACTCTTAACGATGTCATTGCTCCGTAGCGGACACAATTTATTGACACCTTCCACAGTAACAGTAAATAAGTTATGCCTGGATCACATTTGCACCGATTAATCGAATACAATTTTGAAAATATACTCAATTGGCCGATAAATAGGAACAAATGTGACTCTGCAAGTATTTGCAAATGCAACTAACGGCTATCGGCTACCGGATTGACCTATTTATTTGCATAAAGCAACCCGTAATTTACGAACAACCCATTTGTCAGATTAAATCATTATTTAGGTCAGCCATTGCTAATGAGGCGAGTGCTGGCAGGTTCATGTTTAAATGAGTTTGCCATTGCAATCAACCCGGTAGCCGATAGCCGCTATTTGCATTCGCGAGTACAAGCTCAGGTATTACACGCTACTCGTGTTTTGGACGAAAACAAGACGTACGCGTACTACGGTCAGTCAATCAATACTCATTGTATATTGTCGTACAGATTTCTCCATCATAAAGTAAAGCCCGTGTTTTGAACGGAATGTCAATGCACTCAACGTTTTCAATAAACAGGGGTGCACTCTATGCGTAGGAAGTGTCGATTAACTCAAAACTGTTACGACGTAACCAATAATTTTGATGAAGAGGGAGCAATGCCACCAATGTCGCTAAACTCAGACACCTCGGGAACAAACATGGGTATGCAAAAAGTTAAACTTCCGATGGTCGTTACATTTCATTGATATCCATTCTATCTAGGTTTCCCACTTGTTTCATCATTTAGTTAATAAATTGGCCTCGTATTTGTCTTGATTAAAGTATGAATATCCCTTTAAGAGAATGAAACCTGATTACGCGTCTTACAGGTTGAAGAGACTCATAAATAATATAGCCAGAAGACAATACCCGACTCATATGCTTCTTAATATAACATAAAAGCTACAGCAGAGCACGATGAACAAAATGCGATTACCCGACAAAAGGAAACGGACAAGAGGACAAAACCCGTACCCAAAAGGCAAAACCTTTTGGAGAAGGGTATGGACCATAGTGGAAATGAATGAAGTGGGCAGAACCAAGATGTTGTTCGTGGGAACAATTTATTGTGCTGTCATTTTAGACAGTATGGTAACTTGAATTAGTAACACAAGAAAAATGTCCCCGGAGATATCTTGATGCCTTGAAAGTCAATTATTACGCTTAGCTCCCGAAGGTCATATTTTCAACCTGTCAAATCGATAAAAACATGAAACACAGTAGGCTAAATATCATATTTTCTTTTTGCCTTAACCATACCTTTTTACTTTGTGACGTTTCGTCTAGCATGTTCGTTTGACTTTCTCAAATTGCTTGAAGTTGTAGCTTGACCTTGAGACTTAATTACTAATTTGTCCCACATACTTGATAATTGGTGATTGCCTGAGTCTCTATTCATGCACTCTTTTTCTTTCTTGATGTTAATTGACTCTTTAATCCAAAGTTTATTTCTGAGACCTTCATTGTCTATAACCTTGACAATTGACTTTTTAATCCAATGTTTATTTCTGTGACCTTCATGGTAACGTAAACGAAACGTAACAAAGTAAAACAAAGGCATGGCAATATCTGGGTCACATTTACTCCGATTCATCGGCCGGTGCCCGGCCAATTGAGTATTTTGTTCAAAACTACATGCAACTTTGAACAAAACACTCAATCGGCCGGGCGCCGGTCGATAAATTGGTACAAATGTGACCCAGGCATTAAGAGAAAAATAGAATAAAATATCTGATTAAGTAGGGCTAACCAGATGAATCGATTGAGTTGGTTGTTTTTTTTGTTTAACGTTATTTTCCGTTAACTAAGGAGAATGCACTTAAGGTTGTAATATTTGAAAAATGTAATTATTTTCTCCGCGCGTTGAAATAACACAAATAGATTTCCCGAGGGACAAAAAAGCACTTAGAAATGCTTATACAAGAGTCCCCAGTGCAAGGTAAGATCAAACTCTCAAGAAAACGTTCCTAATTGCACATGTCTTGATCGAAGCACTGTTGATCGATAGTTTCAGATAAATATAGCAAATATCTAGGCCATGTAGCTAGGTACATAATTCGACGTCAAATCTAAATGTTTACCAAATTTCAGCGTGCTTCGAGATCATGGCGTAATGCCCAACGAACCATCAGAAGCCATCGATATCCATAAACATTTATTTATATGTTTTTATCAAT